CCCTGTGCAGTGCACCCTCCCCCCATGCAGTGTACCCTCCCCCTGGGCAGTGCACCCTCCCCCCATGCAGTGTACCCCCCCGGCAGTGCACCCTCCCCCTGGGCAGTGCACCCTCCCCCTGGTCAGTGCACCCACTGGCAGAAAACATCCAATCCCTTCCCCTCCCCTGACTTGAACTTAATTTGAGTTTTTCTCTCAATTGAGTATGTAGATCTACTAGTTTGTCTACTAGCATGTTAATCTACTAGTTTCAGTTTAGTACTGAGTATAGATTATGCTTGTCTTTCCATTCTCCTGATGGTTAGTCTAGAGTAGACCAGCAGTTTTCAACCTGTGGGTCACGACCCCTTTGTAACAATGAAAATACATCCTGCATATCAGATATTTACATTATAATTCATAACAGTAGTAAAATTACAGTTATGAAGTAGCAATGCAAATAATTTTATGGTTGGGGGTCACCACAACATGAGAAACTGTATTAAAGGGTCACGGCATTAGGAGGCATTAGGAAGGTTGAGACCACTGGTTTAGACAATATTCTCCAAATCTGTTCAGGTTGTTATAAAAGATACCAAATCTCTATCTTTTTATGGTTGAATAGTGTTCCATAGTATACATAGACCATAATTTATTAATCCATTCATGTGCTGAAGGGCACTTGGATTGTTTCCACATTTTTGTGATTTAAGTAAATTTAGATCATTAGTGATTCTTACTTTGTTCATTTGTAAAATATTTTTGAATTCTTGCTAGGGAGGCCACGTGACTGTAGGTTCAAATCTCAACTTTAAAGATGAGATGAGCTGACAGAGTACATGCTCACTAAATGTTGTTTGTTGTAGCTGTTGCTGTTATTTTAATTATTGTTGTAATAAGTAGAGAGCTATTATCTAAGTTAGATAGGAGGTATATTTTAAAATTTGATTTTATTGCTACTTGAATAATCAAGAGCTTTGCAAGTTGGGGAAACACTTTGCAATGTCCAGATGACCTGGAATGATGCAGGAGTTAGGGGTGCTGAACTCTCACATAGTCAAAAATCCCCGTAACTTATGACTCCCCTAAACTAAACTAATAGCCCACTGTTGACCAGCAGTCTCACCCATGACAATTAACTGATTTGATATGTATCTTGTATGTTATATGTATTATGTTGTATTCTTACAATGAAGTAGCCAGAGAAAAGAAAATGTTACTAAGAAAATCTAAGGAAGAGAAAATATGTTTGTTGTTCATTAAGTGGAAGTGAACTGACCCTGTGGCCTTCATTCTCCTCATCTTTGCATTGGGCAGCTGAGGAGGGGGAGCAGGACGAGGGTGGCAGAGTAGAAGGAGGACCACTGAGTTCAAAGCTGTGCTGGTCAAGGGTCCACTGTGACTAAATTGGGATTCAATGACTTCTGTGGAGCTTTGAGTAAACCACCTTAATTTTTAATTTACTTCCTTCACTCACGAAAGTGTCTGTTTAGATGATACTTTATATGGCATCCTGATTAATAGGCTCAGTGAAGATTTTGGATTTTATAATATGGGAGCAGATCAAAGGGTTTTGAGCAAAGAGTGACATGCTGTGGCCCATGTTTTCGTAGCATTACTCTGTTAAAGAAATACTTTAGGGAGGTAAGGGCAGAAGTAGTGAGGTCAGTTAGGAGGCCTACTGCAATAATCCAGGTGAGAGATGATGGTGGGTGGCTTGGATGAGGGCAGTCAAGGTGGAGGTAGTAAGAAGTGACGTAATTCTGGATATATTTTGGACGAAGAGTCAATAGTATCTTTTGATTCAGTCACTGGCATAGGGTGTAAGGGGAAAAGAGTGGGAGATGACTCCTGAGCTGTAGCTTGAGCAGCTGAGTGAATGATACTGTTGGTTACCGAGACGGGGAAGTTCTAGGGGAGAGTGAGATTTGGAAACAGTGTTGGGGGTGTTCATTTGGAGATGCCCTTTAAATATCCAAGTGGAGATATTTAATACATAAGTCTGGATTCCAGAGAAGTCAGGGCAGGAGATATATACATGTTAGGAGGTGTGTCAAGGATAGTTTAGATTTGAGACTGGTGGAAGATGGAGATGAAGAGAAGTTTGAGGACTGATGACATCAAAACCCGGGGGAGGTGGGGAGAGGTGTGGGGGAGCTGAGGAGAAGTGGGGTGTGTGGAGAGCTGTGATGGGAGCAGAGGGGAAGTGACTCCTGGGGGAGGTGGGGGAGAGCAGAGGGGAACTGACTCCTGGGGGAGGTGGGGGGGAGCAGAGGGGAAGTGAATCCTGGGGGAGGTGTGGAGGGGTGTGGTGGGAGCAGAGGAGAAGTGGGGGTGTGGGGAGAGGTGTGGTGGGAGCAGAGGGGAAGTGATTCCTGGGG